CCCAGTACAATGTTGTTGTATTTTAATTCCGGCCATGAGCTATCTCAGCTCCACATTGCTGATGGGGCAGAACAAATTGGTATTACATTGTAAAATCTTTTAATTTTCTACAGACAAAACTAAAATTGCCATATAATGATGACCAGTAGACCCATTGTCGTATACACCCTTTTAATAAGTCCAGAGGTATTGAGTTTTCCGCCCTTGACGTCAAATTTATTCTTTTGAAATTTAATTACGATACAAAAGGAATTCAAAAGAATAAATTTGACGACAAGTGCGGAGAACACAATACCTCGGGACTTATTGAGGGTGTATAGTCGTGATATTTCATAGCAAGGTCGGCATTAAACTACAATAGCATGTTCAGTCAGAGTGCGCACAAATTATGTTCTTTATATCAACGTCCGAAACGTCAGTAAGTTGTTTCAACTGTTTTTTACTATTTTAAAGTTATCTTTTTACACAACTGTTTTTTGTATATATAGTTAACTTTGTTTGTATGCAATACCTTATTATTGAATATCATGCCTTACAATTTGATATCGTGGTATTCCTTTAATTATCAGATACAGACGGTATGAAGATAGCCGCTGGTCATAAAGCAAGTTTTTGCCTCGAAGATACAGTCTGTGATTCTGGTATTCATAGATACTTCAACTGTACTGACGGGGGTCCCCAGGGGGTTTCACCAAACTGCTATGACGTTTACAAGTGGAACATCGATTGTCAATGGATTGACGTCACTGATCACCCGTATGGAACCTTTTATCTACGTGTGGTTGTGAACCCACATAGAAGAGTCCCCGAGTCGGATTATTTAAATAACATTGCTAAATGTAAATTRAGTGACTATGGCCACTTTGCCTACGCTAGTGACTGTCGTTTAGGTAAGTTGAAGTGAAGTTTATTTCCACTGCAGTAGTCTCCTTCACAACGGATGCACGTGTCTTTCTCAGGTCCAATCTTCCTCAGTCGRCTGTGGGGATGGACCTGGGACTGATAGTATGCACGGTTGCCAAGGACACGACAGGTCACGAAGAAATTTTCTGTTTGAAGTAACAGCCAAAAATATGCCCGTCGTCGTCATTAAATAAAGATTACTGATACTCGCGTCGACTCCCACAGTATTTTCAATATGGCGGACGTTCTAGTCGGAAGAGGCCGAGGACGCAGGATTGCAATTTTATATTTCACAGCATTTCACACAWTATGGTCTTGATTTGGTACAAACTTCTTTTGTTCATGCGACCAAATATGGTATTGTTTGTACCAAAGCTAGACCAAAATGCACCATGATTTTGTATTTCAGAAATTTCTATATTGAARCCGAGAATATGCAATGCATTATGGCGCCATTTTACTACCACTACCAGAACCTTGTTTGCAATTCTCTTGAACATTGTCAATAAAACCCAAATTAGCTGTGGAAGGCACTTTCTCTCTTAAATTGAAAATGGCTACTTTAACATTGCTCTAGAAACTATAAAAGGGAGTTTCTTGAAAGCAATACTATTTTCCAGAATTAAAGCGGTAATTCTAATGTCATGTTGTTGTTGTTTTTTCTTTTGTTGTCGTCGTTGTTGTTGTTTTTGCTGTTGTCGCTGCTGTTGTTTTTTTTTTATTGTTGTTTATGTTTTTTTTGTTTTTTGGACAGAGAATTGTGAAAGTGGAGTGGATACACATGGCGGTAATTCCAATGGTGCGTGCTGCGTGTTCCCATTTAGATATCGAGGAAGAYTGTACAGATCGTGCATCACCACAGACTTAAACAGAAACTGGTGYGCTACAACGCGTAACTTTGACAGGGACAAACTCTACGGAATATGCTTTTAAAGCGATAAAGCTTGAATTACATGAAATCTGTTTTGTTACTTATTTAATGCGTGCTATTCATTTAGAGTGACTTTCATTCGACTGTGGAAGAGCAAATAGCTAATTGTGATTGGATAATGAACCAATTACCAATAGTCATATCAAAGAATTGCCTCAGAAATGTTGTCCTTCGTTTATCAGCCATATATGGTAATCTTTCCTTATTTGGAAGAATTCGTGTGAGCTGGTATTTCCGATTTTCTCAACTGTTAAATCGTCTAAAACTTGCAGACATTATAGCAAACAAACTTGAGATCAATCAGCCATTTTGTTTGTTTCCCTATTTGGCATGGATTCGCTCTAAAATGCACAGGGATTCCGTACGAATGACATACAATTCTTTGATATATGCATTTTTTATAGTAATTATAGTTTTAATAGTATAAAAAAAATGAAAGAGAACGAGTGTTTTTATGGATAGGAGATCTACTAGTGTCTATGAATAAGCCTAGTCGATTTCAGTCAATGGACACGGCTCTAAATATGAATACGCACTTTTATCGGAAATTACATTTTCAACAAGGCCAGAAATGAGGCCATACATTATAAGATATCGCTTTGTGAAATACTTAACTTGCACTGTGGACGCACATAACCCGTGAAACAAAAGCTGTTAAATTATACTAATTCCTTTATTCTCAATTGTAACAAAAACTAGAAAACAAGTAATGCTTGTTTCATGGATCGGAATGAAATATGACACAAAACATGGAATTGAAGTTACACTAACAATCCTTAGTAAGCTCTAACTGCATTGTTTTCTTTTGTGACTATTTGAGTATCACACTTCAAGGGTTAAACTTTGTTACACTGGTTTGATGACCGCACTTAATCCATGCAATAATACTAAATTGTCCTAATTTCTTTGTTTCCTATTATCTAATCAACCCTATTAAACCCATTAAACATTTGACAATAACAAAGAGGTTATTTTTTCAATATGAAATAGAAAACAATAGTCCATGTACAGCAAAGCATGATGGGGGTTGCAGTCGTCACACTTTTTTAAAAATATTATACTTGAACAATTTTGTGTTTACCCTGGTTCCAGAGGCTTGACTTTTATTCTTTTGCTTACTTATTTTCGAGCCGCCAAGCGGCGAAACGTTTCCGTTTGTCGGTTTGTTTTTACGCCAAGCCTCTGGTCTCAATCGTAGGCAATCTCACTTTCATGCTGTATTTTAGCTGTCAAACAGTCATATAMAGGAACCAATAAGAGCAATTTTTTTTCATAAAGATTTTATTTATTTAAATTATCAATACTTAACAAATTAGAAAACTACTTTTACAAGTGGAAAATATCAGTTTTCTTGACATTCTTTTCTTTATTTTTCGGTCTGTTTTGTTTTCTTTGTATACAATTCTGAACGCAAGTATGGTCGACATTTTGAACAAATCGCCTACCACCTTGAAAGCCATTTATGTATGAAATTGTGGGATAGCTAGAGTGATCGCACTTAATCCGTGCAACTGTACAAACTAAATAGTTCTATTTAGTTGTATTTAGTAAATCGTGCATGCGGYRCGCAAATYAAATTGAAYTGATACAAATGAAGCATTCAATACCGTCTTGCTTCASGTCCACTTTTAGTACAAATTARTACTACTTAGATTTTGTACRGTTGCACGSWTTAAGTGCGATCACTCTARTGCATCMGTACTGATAGTCTGTACACGTTGGCAAATGTCAAAGTACTACACTATTGAAACTATTGAATGTACATCATGCAGTTCGGTGGTCTTATTTGAAGTCTGTGAAGCATTTCTATTAGTGAAGTCCAARCTCACGGGATCCATGTTGTACAAAAAGCTATTCGGACCCTATGAGGGAAGGTCAAACCCTAGGGGGTCCATGCTGTTCTCTAATATCGCAAGAGAACTGTCTCTCATCAAACTCAAGAACTTTTGCATCTCATCTTTTCGGAAAACCTGTTTACAGAACAAATAGAATTACTCATAAACAAACCAATGACATTTAACTTTACTATTCTAATAATGTTTGAAAACAGAAAAAAAAACAAGAATATTTTAAAACACTCAGCCAAACAATTAATTAATACACATTTTAATGTTTTGATGGTTTTGATGTCTTTATCATCGCCAACTTCGTATCATCTAAACAATCCTCAAATCGCCATCATTACATCATCGTCGAGRTTATTAGATTGATTCTAAAGTTTTAGTTTTCTCTCCTCAGCCGAGAGAAAAATGGARACCATGAAATACGTTCAGGAGGTTTATATTGGTCTTCTATATACCTTATATAGTTCATACTGTTCTGAAGCGACAATATCAGCCAACTGAATACACTGCAATAAAGAAATAATAACACGATCAAAGGTCTTCTCGCTGAATATTATTTACAGAAGAATTAAAACTGGAAAACCTCAGACTTTTACATACTGTGTAAATCGTGTAAATTGTTTGTAAACACACTGTAAAATTGATTTTACAGGACCAAGGTACTTTTACATACTATGTAAATTTCAAAAGACTTTGTAAATCATTTGTAAAATTATTCCTCGCACTCAATGTAGATTTTTGTAAATGCGAAAAAATTGTTTGTAAAATACAATTTCCAAAATATTTACATAGTATGTAAAAGACTGAGATTTTCCAAAAGTCTTCTCGCACAATATCATTTACAAAAGAAAGTGGAACATGACATATAAAATAYCGGCGAGGGTGACTCCTAGTCAAGACATGGTGAATGTTGCAGGAGATATATCTCTCTGATGTCATCCCTACCTGTTTGTATTGTCCAGCAGAATGATGAACATTGTGAAGAAGATAGCATATCAATGGAATACACAACTGTCTCAGAAGCTGCAACTGTTGGYTACGAGTAGGATCCTCAACTCCATCCTGAAAAAGTATATAACCAATTTGAAATAGTTTTTGTRGGTGTTTAGTGGCTAGGTATTGAGGGTACTCAATAATTTTGGGATTCCTGTGTCAGTAAAGTTTGTAAGAGCAAGAATAGTCGGAAGAGGAGTTGAGTGTTTTCATCTTTTCTAAAAGATGTAATAGGCCATTTGCATTATGACTTAACTTTACTACAACTACCAGAGAGCCTTACGCATTTTCATTGTTATTCAGATTTTTAATACCCTTGGAGATTAATAAAACATTTGGCACTGATTGCATGACAAAAGAAGGTTTGCAAAGCATTCTGGTAGTTGTAGTAAATGCCGCCATAATGCAAATCGGCTATTGCTCGTTTTCAATCTTCCCCATGAGACTCAAAAGAAAAAAAAAAAACAGCGGTCGTAATGGTTGAATGAACAATTATACTAATGAGAAATCCTTTGTTGAAGTTCAACCAAGATGGCCGCTGTGAAGTACATTGCAAATGGAGAATTGTAAAACAAGCAGTCTCACCAGTCTGTGATCAATCATCCAACCACCATCTGGGAATAGCAGGACATTGTATAATCTCTCAACAGTTGCCTTTGAACGAACAAATGAGAATTTTAAACAGTTWTAACTAAAAGAAAACAAAAGTCGTTGTTTTTCTTTTTAAAGTATAGCTCGGGTCCGCCGTACTTGGCTCAAACGCTGTTGCGGTGTCCCTGCCCATAACATCATTTTGTATTTGTTGTCATGGTATCTTTTGTTGATTTTGCTGTTGTTGTTTATGTAATTTGGGCAAAGATAATAAAAAATAAATAAAGTTGAAGAACAAAAACTGCGAATCAGAATCTCCACTGAAAGTACAGTTACCTTGGAATGGATGTCTAAGGTATTTTGCCAGCGTTCAAGATCAATCTTAAAAGGAAACAATTTCAAATTTATTTAATATAACCCTGAACTTTGAAAAACAAATAAATGTAAAAATAATCGACAAGCAATGATAAGAAATGCAAAAAATAAATAAATAAATAAATAAATGGATGAAGAGAAATATCATGACCACACTTAGAATGTATTTTAGCGTGTTGATTGGTTGACACGGCCATCACGTGAACAGATCACATAATGCKTCGAAGTCATTCTGTCTACCAGCTTGAYTTCTTTTCAATGAAGCTCATTTAACATCCATTTTCTTCATAACACCACAGYATAATGCCAGAATGAAAATCGATACAGCGATACCAAACTTGGCGACACCAAGCAGAAATAGATGATTTTATCTGCCATGYTCTAGCAAGAAATCCGCGTCAAAAGGACAGGAAAATGACCCAATGTCGTCAAATAGTTGTCAGACATTCTTCAACACGTGTCTTGTATATCAAAATAATTGACCTCAATGGCACGTGATGTGTTGTTTCTTGTTATAACTATTGCAATGATATGCTTTGGCATCCCGTCATAAAATTTGATTGTGGGAGAGATTGAAAGGGAGTGGCGAATTCATATTCAAGGAGTCAGTGAAAACTGGGATTTCACGCACTAGGGAATATGGAGAGCAAACGCAGGAAAACCATTAAATAAATCCAAACTAAATACTAACAAATAGCGGCTATATAGAGACAAATTGTCAGTATTAATGAACCAGAATGCAATCAAGATAAATTAAAAATGGTCCCATGTGAATTCATCTTTATTGTGTTCTGGTTCATTGATACTGACAATTTGTCTCTATATAGTCGCTATTTGTTAGTATTTTGTTTGATTTTATTTCATGGTTTTCCTGCGTTTGCTCTAACTGTCACCATCGAGGGTGAATATTATCACGACAATGAGTTACCTTGTATTGCTTTTGTTGCTGTTCCAATGCAACTTTCTCAGTAAAATTAGAATAYTTGTCCATTTGCGGCTTTTTCTTTATATATAAAACAAAAAACAAATAAAATACATTCCATCAATGAACTAACCAAGAAACATAATAAACATTTTAAGTGAAGAATAATACGTCGATCAAGAAAGCAAAAACAACAGCGGTTTCCAAGGCTGTGGGAAGCCTAATCGCTTGCGTTTAATGACTCRCCCGGRTGATGAGATAAGAAAGCCAGAAACAGAAGGGTGAATGCTACAAGCCCAGCTTATCCTGATCTTGAATATCAAGATTATAACTAACTAACTATCCCTCTTTCAACACCTATGCGATTATATAAACCAGAGAATATTTACCGGTACTTCGTGGTGAAAATGCTGGAACCAATCATTGAAGGCGTCATGTGCATCCTGCAAACACAATACTAATTGTCAGCGGTCTTAGTATCCTATACCGACTGCATTACATAAGTAGACTTGGTTCAAATGACCAGTCGTCTTTTTGCCGCCTTTGTGCTTTTGCAAGAGCCAGGAACTGATCACATATGGTGGAATTCCAATCACGGTCTTCCCTAAGTCATTTAAAAGTAGGATATAGAAATGAAAGAAAGTTATAGCGCTTAGAAGGAGGCAATTCCGGGAGAAAGACCCTAAGCACTATAACATTCTTTCATTTCTATATCGTGCTTATCATAGTGCCATGCGGTCCTCGTATTCATATCTTTACAGTTAAAAGTAAGGCGAGACAGTCAATAAGATTCATGTCCTCAGTGCGTCTATTCGTGCTATGACTCCGTTAAACCATTTCTTTCCCTGATTTGTGACAAGATCTATTTATAAAATTCCAGTACAGAGCCTTGAGTCTATGTGTAAATTGATTGATTATTCTATTGTTCTCTATACTAGGAACAACGCTATTCTCGTTTGTACTGGAGTTTTAATAATAGCCAAATTGAGTGACCTAAAAGTGCACAGGAAACCCAAATACTCACCAAGTATGCTTTAATACAAAGGTATTCTCTAATAGCGTTATCATGGTCTGCAGGTAAGGCGCTACTTCCAGCCTGGCGAATACGTATACAACGATAAAATGATGACATGTTTTACTACCGATACACCTTATCAAAGTTGTCGGCTCGCAAAAGGTGATATCATGAAAGCTAACATCCAAGTGGATTCAGGAAGTACTCAGAAATTCAAATAAACTTATTACATTATAGTACTACTCGTAGAGGTCATTTTATTCAATGCAGGCAATGGACACTGAAACACTGTTGTATTTCTCATAATTGCTTCCCCATGATTCCTTTCGGTCTTCTAAGTTTTCATAATGTAAACTTTTGGAACCCGACGACGCTTTTTCAATCGATTGTATATGAAAACCTTCCTTACCACGTAAATAAATTGACTAATGTAAAGTGATTCGAACTAGGCGGCATTCCGAATCCAGTTGCCAGGAATCTGGGTCCCAGTTGTTCGGGTCCCGGATTCCAGTCAATGGACTTTTTCTAGATTCCTAATACCTAAATTTTGCTGGATGCTGGATTATTGAATTGCTCGGATTCAGTATTCCGTATTCTTGGACCCATGATTGCCCTCTGGCAAAAAACTGATAAAACCTTGCAGTTGGCAACATAACATTATGTATTTCATAACATTATGTACCAAAACTTAGTATTCCCTAACAAAACCTTTACAACAGTGAAGTATTAGACATGTTCTCACCATCATTTGCCATTGTTTATAGATGACGTCAATAGACCCGGGTGGAATCTTATTGAAGACCTCACGTGCAGCCGTGTGTTTACGTGTAGCTGTAACAAGATTAAGTAACAAAGCAATTATAGTGAGCCTTGACAATAACATGGAGAAGACCTTAAAAATATGTGCTGGAAAATTGCTAGCAATTGCGAAAGTCAGATGAAAAATGTGGTCCTATTAAAAATATTCGCTTCGATGCATAGACACATCAAATTTTCAAGTAAACCGCCAGTTTTGATACGCATGCTCTCATATGATCCCAAATGGTTTAGATTCCATGAATTTGGCCTGTACTTATGGTCTGTGTATGATTTTCCAAGCCTATCCCACATGGTTTAGTGCCTCATTAATTGAACATGTACTCATGCTCTCATATGCCATTTTGCAAGCCTATCTCATATGGCATCACTCGTTTTCGCACTGAAAAAATGCTTTGAATGGAAATGACACTAGCTACAAGATCACTTTTTACAAGTCGTTTGTAACATACCTACAAAGCACCTCATGATAGCATTGCCTTGCTTCAAAGCTTCWGCTCGCTGTGTCGGGTCAAACACCAACCACTCTATCGCCTCKATTTTTTTACGGTCCTCCTAAATTAACRTTGAAATGTCGAAAATAGAAAAATAGAACATATGTTATATRAGCGAGCAAAAACTATTCTGGTGTTGCGACCGTTATTTTTTATAGTCGTGATTRAAATAACGATGCACTTCACAAAATGGCGTCGCTAGTAGATAGAAATTGGTCCGCTTTATATCTACTGTCGCTGTGCATTGTTTATYCCTGTTTCTATGGYRACAAAGATCCYTTCCCATAATAAGGTCTAAAAACGTCAGCGAAATGCACCATGGGATGGATGAACCATGCTGTTGTTTTACTTCTGTGCTTCTGTTGTSTCAATTGATTTTTTGAACAATAAACATTATCTAGTCCCCAGAAAGGTCTTTTAACATACTACAGTGTTTGGGCATCTCAATTTAGTGCTCCTCCAAAGGATCCAAAGAATTCAATAGCGTTGANTAACTATCCCTCTTTCAACACCTATGCGATTATATAAACCAGAGAATATTTACCGGTACTTCGTGGTGAAAATGCTGGAACCAATCATTGAAGGCGTCATGTGCATCCTGCAAACACAATACTAATTGTCAGCGGTCTTAGTATCCTATACCGACTGAATTACATAAGTAGGTAGTTTATCACTATGGCGAAACAGACTTGGTTCAAATGACAAGACGCCTTTATGGTGAGATTCGCAATCACGGTCCTTAAGTCAGTTAGAAGTAGGATATAGAAATGAAAGAAAGTTATAGTGCTTAGAAGGAGGCAATTCCAGGAGAAAGACCCTAAGCACTATAACTTTCTTTCATTTCTATATCGTGTTTATCATAGTGCCATGCGGTCCTCATATTCATATCTTTACAGTTAAAAGTAGAGCGAGACAGTCAATAAGATTCACGTCCTCGGTGCGTCTATTCGTGTTATGACTGCGTTAAACCATTTCTTTCCCTGATTTGTGACAAGATCTATTATAAAACTCCAGTACAGAGCCTCGAATCTATGTGTAAATTGATTATTCTATTGTTCTCAGGAACAACGCTATTCCCGTCCGTACTGGAGTTTTAATAATAGCCAAATTGAGTGAACTAAAAGTGCACAGGAAACCCAAATACTCACCAAGTATGCTTTAATACAAAGGTATTCTCTAATAGCATTATCATGGTCTGCAGGTAATGCGCTACTTCCAGCCTGGCGAACACGTATACAACGATAAAATGATGATTTGTTTAACTACCGATACACCTTATCAAAGTTGTCGGCTCGCAAAAGATGATATCATGAAAGCTAACATCCAAGTGGATTCACTGGAAGTACTCAGAAATTCAAATAAACGTAAACATATTACATTATAGTACTACTCGTAGAGGTCATTTTATTCAATGCAGGCAATCTATTGACACTGAAACACTGTTGTATTTCTCATAATTGCTTTCCCATGATTCCTTTCGGCCTTCACTGTAAAAAGTGATCAATTTTCATAGTATGTAAAAATCATGTCGATTTACATGAATTTTACACACAAATTTATTAATTAACACAGATCATGGAAAAATCATGTAAATTACGAAACCCTGTTAATGGGGAACAGTCGTGTAAATCTAAATTTACAGCATCTTTACATGATTTTTGCATGATTTTACATACTATGGAAATTGATAACTTTTTACAGTGCTTGGCTTTCATAATGTAAACTTTTGGAACCCGACTACTCTTTTTCAATCAATTGTATATGAAAACCTTCCTGACTACGTTAATAAATTGACTAATGTAAAGTGATTCGAAATAGTCGGGATTCCGGATCCAGTTGCCAGGAATCTGGGTCCTAGTAGTTCGGGTTCCGGATTCCAGTCAATGGACTTTTTCTAGATTCCTAATACCTAAATTTTGCTGGATGCTGGACCAATTATTAAATTGCTCGGATTCAGTATTCCGTATTCTTGGACCCAAGATTGCCCTCTGACAAAAACTGATAAAACCTTGCAGTTGGCAACAAAACAAAGTAAAGGATCCATCTTTGGTATTTTATAAGCATAAAAGAATTAACAGTTTTTCATATACTATTTTTATATTTTTTTCATAAAATTATGTACCAGAGCTTAGTATTCCCTAACAAAACCTTCACAACAGTGAAGTATTTAGGCATCATTTCTTACCATCATTTGCCATTGTTTATAGATGACGTCAATAGACCCGGGTGGAATCTTATTGAAGACCTCACGTGCAGCCGTGTGTTTACGTGTAGCTGTAACAAGATTACGTAACAAAGCAATTACAGTGAGCCTTAACATGGAGAAGTCCTTAAAAATATGTACTGGAGAATTGTTAGCAATTGCGAAAGTCAG